TCCAGGGGCAGAATCACCTCCCTGGTGAAATCTGAGCTTGAAAAATGTCTCAAGACAGATTCTGAAGTTTGGACACTAAAATTAAAGATAGATCTAAAAATTGAGAAATGATGCGTGCAACAACAGAAAAATGTCAACACAAAAGACAGAGCCATGCTACAATTTAGAAATGCAATAGAGTGCTTGTTATCTTTCTCCATCCAGCTTGGAAGGCATGGAACTGAAGCTGTGCTATTTCTCAGCTACTGACACCCAGGCTAGGAAGACCAAAACTCATTTGTGTGTGATTATATTGCATTCCTATTACTGGACTGCAAGAGCATAATGTGTATGCACTCTCAGATAAAAAGAACAGCACCTCTACTCACCCACACAACAACCAGCTTGTGCTATCATCAGATGCACAATGACAATGCAAATCTGGCCAAGGACGTCCCTGGCAATTGCAATTCCCCACTCGGTGAATATCCAGTATGACACAGATGTGTCTTATTGTTTCCTATCTTTCTCACTGGATTCTGCCACCTTCTCAAATAATCACCAGAAAAGGCAGGAAGGTATGGAAGTAAATCTCACAACAACTTTCATCAAAATATGAAAAAAAAATGTAAACATTTCTTTAGCTATTCTATGGACATAAATGTTGCTTTGCCAAAATTGAACCTTTGGAAGTTTTTTATCTTTTAAAAAAGATACCATTTTGTACAGCTGAGTGATTGTAGCTATATTCATCAGAAAGGCTGAACTGTTTCTAGAGAATATTTAGAAGAAACAACATGATCTGAGAAAGGGCCTGAAAGAAAATACACCTCACTGCCTTAGACTGGAATCTGCATCAGCTAATGAGACCAGCTCAGTGTTTATGCAGCCTTAGCTTTAAATGCCAATAAACTCCACTACTGTTTTCTCAGCAGTAAATATTTCTGCTGGTGTGTAAATGGCAGTAAGGAAATCCTGTCAGGAATGATACAACCAGCTAGTTACTTGATCTGAAAAATATAACTGATCCATTTCATGGATACTAGTATGGATACATGGATACATGTATCTACTTTATGGATACTAGTTGAAATGTATCAATTTTATTGATACATTTCATGGATACATGGATACAAAACATGAAATTTATCCATGTTTTGTTACAAAATGCTAAGTCCAAGCTATTTTCTGGAATGATCTCCTCAGGCTTTGTAAAACTGGGTAAATCATGTTTTGTTACAAACATTGCTCACTACTGTCAGGTGTATCTTGATGTATTTGGTATATTTATACATTCCTGTTGCAAATAATAATGTGACAATTCCAGGATCCATTTGAAATAAAAGTATAAAACCAAAAGTGACCTGAGCTTGACCTTAAGACTCAGAAATAAAACAATTTTTGTCTAAAATGCTGAGATTGTCTAACTCATTTTTTGCACATCTCAGGCTGGCAAGGTACTATTTGATTTAGTTCTGTTACAAGACTGGACATGTGAAGGTATTTTTACTTCAGAGAACATATAGGCAGGGTAAAATGCCTCTTGAGAGCTATTGCGTAGTATGTAAACAGCAACACATGCTCCCCTGATTTGCTTCCTACCAGTTTCCAAGGCAATGCAAGGACTGTGTGTTTCACCTCATCTCTGAAGAAAGAGTAATGGACTAATATAAGGGACCACTGATACTTGATTGATTGTGTGTATTGCTTAGAAGAAGAGTTAAACTGATTGCACTGCACTTGAATTTTATAGTTTATAGTAACTGGCAGAGTGTTCTGAGCTGATGTCTAGGTGCTTTTTATCTAATCTAAATCAAAATAAAGTAACATAAGACATAACAAGGTCTATGTGACTTTGTGCCTAAAGATCTCCCAGGGAACACTACAAGGAACATTGCTATGCTCTGGAGCACAGAGCAATGTTGCAATAAATAATAATAAAGCCATTATTTTTTATTCTCATTTGGGGTTATTGCTCTATTTTTGGACTTTGGCAGTTTCAGATGTAATTTTTTTTTCTGGGTCAAGCCATTTACTTCAGACTTTTTGTGCCAATACAACTGTACCTACAAAATTCCACCGTCCACAAAACAAACTCCAAACATAAACCTGAATAATTATTTAATGGTTGCCAGCAGTCATTTCCTTGTCATCACACTAGGTCACATAATTCAGAAAACTTGACAATATGTAAGTTATGAATTCTATGGATTCTTGAATGTTTCTGCATGTATGGAATCACCTAGATTTAAGGCAAGTGATTTCATTAACACTCAGTTAAGCAGCACACCTTAGGACACTGGATGAAATAAAGCCTATAGAAAGCAATCCAGCACAGTTTGTTTGATAGGAGAGGGGAGAAGGTGCTCCAAGAGCCTCCAACAGTCCATGGTGAAGACTATAGTGAGGCAGGCTGTCCCCTTGCAGCCCATGCAGGTCCATGGTGGAGCAGATATCCCCTTGCAGCTCATGTAGGTCCATGGTGGAGAAGGTGGATACTCTACAGAGGCTGTGATCCCACAGGCAAGCCCATGCTGAAGCAGGTTT